CCCAGACAAGTTGTTGAGTCTCCATCCTTGCAGATACCCAAAGCTGTATGGATACTGTCCTGGGCAATCTGCTACAGATAATTCAGGTTGAGCAGGACAGCTGGACAAAATGACCTCCAGACATCCCTTCCAACCTCAACCATTCTGTGATTCTATGGAAGAAAATACAGCCAAGCACACAGACTTTCTGACATTTTCAAAAACATATCAATGCTTCACTTGCTGTGAAACCAGTGATCCTGAACTCTTTGGAAAAAAAAATAAATGCAGAATGGAGATTTAAAGCATTGTAACAGAAATAAAACACAAAAAGCTTATTGGAAATTCCACTAGCTAGCCAACAACACATTTGAGGACTTAAATAATTTTGAAAATCTAGACATATTTCACTGGGTTGAGATTGTATGAGAAGTCTGTAGCCTCCTGAAGAATTAGTAGTGGTCTTTCCAATGTCTAGTCACAGACCCATCCCTTTTTTTCACCTAGAGATACACTATTCTTGAACGGCTTTGCTATTCATATCCCAGCTAAGGAGAATCCCAAGGACATTTAGTTCTCCTCACTAAACGTAACATGCCACCTTACATTTTAATTATTTGGAATTTTCTATAAAACTACAATCACAAAATAATGGGGGTCCAGTGTATCAGACAATAAAATAGTGTTTCAAAGGCAGCTTATTCCTCAGACAATTAAACACAGCCTTTACAAACATCAGGATGCCCTACCTATAACCATAGGCAGAATCTGATTTTCTGAAGCAGATTAGTCACATTGCTGCAACTGCACATTCCTATTCAGAAATAAACAACATTATGCTCTGAAACTTCTATTCCTGATGTCAAATTATTTACCATAAGACTATTTTCAGCATATTCCTTTAATTACTTTAAACACTTCATATTAAGTAACTGCAATTCTATTAATTCTTTTGGATTTTGTTTTACAAAAACAACCAACTCTCAGCTATATTGTCCTACAACGCATGCTTGTGTTTCTTTACCACTCCAAGCAACAGCAATAAAAGTGTATGCTACATGATATATCAGGATCATGTTAATACCAGTGCAGATGGCAAAATTACAGAAAAGTTGAAATATAAGAGGCTGCAATATGAAAGGCTGTGTTAGAAAATGTTAGTATTTCAAATGTCCCCACAATGGATCTTGGCTGTTTAGATGGATGAAACTACCTGCAGTACACCAGATGCCTCGCAGGTATACACCAGAGCAAGGTGAAGGTGCAATGGGCTGTACCACAGTCTATCTACTGAAGTTACATTCTATTGTCTATTCTCTTGACATGATCATACCTTAAAAATGACAGTAACTGAGTACTCTTGAAGAATTTCTTTGGATTTTATTTACCAACATAAAAGGTGAGTGTATGGTGGCACAGAAAGTACAAAGACACTGCCTATGTACAAACTACCATGAAGCTGAAGTTGCAATGGGGTAGGAGGAGGTTTGATCCTGCTGGATGCAAGTCAGCTGCTGAAGCAGTCAAGCATCAGTAAATTCAAACTAATAAGTACTCCCAAGAGCTATAAGTCTCAACACAGTACAACACAAGTTAAAAACTGCACCATTCAATGACTCTTCACAAGCTCAATTCCATTCCACTCCTGGCTATTTAACATGAATTAATGAAGCATAATAATTTTAAATGAAATTTCACTTAATTCTTAGATTTTGTGAGTTAGAAAATCAAATAGCCATTTTTTATCACCAATCAATTTTAAAACAGGTGCCTTCCACTGCTCTCAGAAGAACACTTGAGTGATAGACATGAGTGAAGAATTTGGGTTAATTCCTGTTAGTGTCAGCTGTCAGTGTAGCCTAGAAAAATTGCTCTTTACCATGTCCCTATAAAAAGACTTTCCATACAGAGACAAATCCTGAAAAGCAGGATCTTTGCAACATTATCTGAAATCCTCACTTTACACTAGTACATACACCCCCATCCACTCTTTCCAGACTACAATATACCATTTTTATTTCCTCTTTGCCACATGATTTTTTATAGCCATTACTTTTCAAAATTTCAATTAATTGCCAGTGATTTGTCATGACACCCTAAGAGGTAGTACTGAGATAATGTAACATTTCTCACAAGATAACATAGTTTGAAGAATTTATGGACCTATTTTACTTTAAAAAGCTTAGGTGTAATGGTATTTGAGAATCTTTCATTTTGTAACATTTTTGCCAAAAGCGACACACCTAAGTAGTGACAGCAGATGGAAGAGGTTAAAAGTATCAACTCCCAAATTACCAACTTTGCTAGGCCACCTTCCTTTCATAATTTAGACCCTTCTGTTGGAGATTTGAAAATATATTCTAGGCAGATGACATGTTAACAGAATAATTTCATGGTTCAGTGTCCTCGCAGTATGATTTATCTCTTATCTCTAGGCACTGGAGGTCCCTTTTCAGGAGATTTATTAGTTAGATCCAAGAATCCATTTTGATGGGAGAGAATATGTGCATTACTGCAAAACAGAACCTTAACATTTGCTCTAAGATAATGTCTCCTTCTCATTAGTTTTAAGAAAAGTACCATGCATGTGCCATCACAACTGTTTCTAAGATACTGCACCTTCATACAACAAAATGTTCATGAATGAAAGAGGTTTTCTTATTGGCATTAATCCAGGAACTTGTACCCCCTGCTCTTCTAAACCTACATAATATACATAGAAATAAGGTCCAGAGTCTAATGAAACATCTGATGTAAAAATTAACTAGCATTTTCTTTTTCACTCCACTTTTGCTATCGGATATTTGCTGCAGACAAATTTTGTAGGACAAGAAAAGTTTAACCATGGGAAGTTGCTTAAACATCTGGTTCACAGCTCAGGCCATATTATCAAAAGAATAAAGCTAATATTTCAATACCTTAAAAAAACCATTATGTTTTCAAAAACACTTAGCATGCAGCATCTCCTGTTGTGAAACACTAGTCAGGCTTTGAGGGAAGTGCAGCACAGTGGGATCGCCTTCTTTCTTAAGCCCAAGTTTAAGTACTTGGTGATTTCTGAGGGTTCACTTGTCCTCTAGAAATATTTTGTTGAGATAAATTCAGTCCCCAATCATATTTTATGTTGCTTGACCCAATGATAGAAAATCTGAATTTAAATGGGCATAAGACACCTCCTCTTCCCACAATGCCTGGTCCAAATTACATAATGGAGCATGAACCTGGAAGCAGTTCAGTTTAACAGAAGTCCTTGACTTGAGTTCTACACAAGAAGATATCTCCAAAGATTTTGAGGGTATCCAACTGCTCTGACTGCCAGTACAAAACTATTCATCTAATGGTTGATTCAAATCCCATAAAGTTGAAAGACTCATTGATTTAAATTATACTCATTTCAGACTAAGGTCTAGCTCTGCTGCTCACTATGTTGAAATTCAATGCCAAGGCTAAAAGCACAATTGCCTCTCACTAGAAAAAAAGTGAAACTAAATGACTAAACTGACATAGAAACTTGACCATTTGAGAATGGAAGTAGTCTACAGAAACACACACAGACATTTCTTATGCCATCCAGCACTCATCACAGTTCACATCATCTAATAAGAATGTATAGTTAGAAGCAGCAAGGCTAAAGCTCATATAATGCACAGCAGAGGAAAATATCTCAACTTAAAAACTTATAATAGTCTATTTGGTAAATATACACATTATTTGATTAATCAGATAGATAATTCACTTTTGTTTTGCTATGTCACACAGAGATGCAACAGCACATAGAGAAATAGGTAATCTGTAGACAGAAATCAAAGACTCCACATGCTCTCTTTTTTGTATCTTCCTATTTCTTGCTCTTATTTTTGGTATCACTTCTGCCCTCTTAAACTGTTTTGAGCACTGATAAAAATTTTGAATATTGTTTTAGTAATCTGAAGCCTTCCTTGCCTTAACTGCCCAGATACATTTTACACTCATGAAAAGGCAAGAAGATCAACTGCTGCTTCAGTATAAATAATTCTGGAGAGTGGTGGTAGTTCATGTCTGAGCTGGGGAGAAGGAGATAACTGTATGAGCCAGAACTCAGCACAACTGCATCTGCATATAAATAGACTTAATCAGAAATGCAAATTGCAATCAGATGAAATTTTAAAAGCCTATGATAACTGTGTAGATAACAAAAGGTCAAATACTTGTATTGCTGAAGGTTTTAAACTGTTAAGTCAGTGGTGATTCTTCATTAGCCAAAATGTGGAAAACACTAGTACATGCCAGCCTAATCAATGATGGACAATTTCTATATTTCCTCTATTATTACAACTGTTCTGTTGCTAAACTCTAGTTCACACTGTCAATCTCACTTATTCAAGAAGACTCAGTGAAGTGAAAACAAATGAAATCAAATATAGATAGTATGAAATAATACAGCTAATTTACATGACTATATATAGAAAGGAATTTATATCCCTTTTCATATCTAATCTAATATAATTCATATTGGATTGTCCATGGATGACAAACCAAATCTTCAAATTTTAACATCCTCAGGTAAATGAAAAAATAAATTATGACTACAGTTTGCTGCCAGATTGCTTCATAGTACTGTCAAAATTGTATGTTTTTCTTTTACAGTAAAACAAGCCCAAGGCTAAGGAATAATATTTGAAATAATTCTTTAACAAATAATGTTAAATAAACAAATGTTGGCTTCTCCATTTGAAATAAACATTTTCATCAGCAGTAGGTAAGAAAAGTTCTGTTGGAAGGAAGGTACCTGGATATGATATGATTTTATATTCTAAGATTAAAATAAAATAAATAAATCTTTATCATTTCAAGGAGTTCTAAATAAAAATTATTGTAGAAGACAGACTGAAAAAAAAAATCTTTAACATTACAGATTTTTATTGTCTTTTTGCAGAAGAGATTCTTAGGATTTTAAGCACAAACATTTGCCAAATAGTTCTCGTTTGAGTAGACTGCCTTTGAACAAACTAGTGAGTGAAGAGAGCCATCTAGTGCCATACCTTGGAATTTTAAAAAGGGTTTTCACCGGATGCATGTCAAATAAAGGAGGGTCTCCATCCCCCAGCTCAATAGCTGTTATTCCCAAGGACCACACGTCACACCGAGCATCATATGAGTAGTCATACTGCTGCTCACAAGCAATGACCTATCAGAGGAGAAGCAGAGAAACCAACGCTTTAATCTCATTTGTAACTCCTGTCATCCAATATAGCATGAAAGTACTTTTTTGAGTCATGTCTAAAATGCCATGTAGCTATCAAATCCATATCATTTTTGCCTGTATATACCAGACAAAAGAATCATCACAAAAAGGTAACAGCAAATTAGAACTTCTCTTTCGTTTGTTTTCTTTAAAAACAATCTCTTTCTTTTTTTAAAAAAAATACATTAAGCTCCATGGGATGCTTCAAATATCTATACAAAGAACATCAATAACAAATTCTTTTTTGAAAGAATGACTTACAGGGACCTATTATAATAGCAGAGAACCTTATTGCTGTTATTCTTATTAACTTCCATGACCATTCATGAGGATAGACTGATTTGCACTGCTGGTTTTTAGATAAGGATATTCCATCAGAAATTTCTGCCCTTTTTTGTTGTTGTTTGTTTTCTGTTTTGTTTTGTACTACTGCATTTGAGTAGTTTAAAAAAATCTTAGGTAGAAAACCATGTACCTTGTCTAAGAAAAATGGAAGCAAGCAGGAATCTCTCCTTGGATTTCAGAACTGTTTTACATCACAGACTTAATGCACACTTCTGGCCAACTCACTGATCACATTCTAATACACTAACTATTCATGTCAGCTGAATCTAAATGCCAGATTCAAATCAAAGTTTAAATTCAGCCCTTATCTTTACAAAGGGATGAGACAAAAATTGCAGCTTCACTGCAATAAAATCATAATTTTATTATAATTTGGAATTGTGTCTCAAGTTTGTCTTCCCAAATCTCATCAATTAAACAATTACTTTAAAATAATTTGTTGGATCCTGGCATATTGCTAGTAAAAGCTATGAGAAAAACCATGGAAGTTTATAAAGTATCTTTAATAATTTGTACTTAAGATAAAAATAACATGTCCTAGGGTGGCTGTACCTATGTTCTAGAAGAGATTTTATACTTTTCAACTTCTGTATTACTTCTCAATTCCTGTATTAGGGCTCCAGCTTGGGACAACACTTTGCACAGATTGCAACATGCAAGTCAGCAATGGGAATAGCTGCTGGCAGAGTCACCTGTTATAAGAAAACCTTTCCTGGAGAAGCTGCTGATTCCATCTTAAGCTCTTAGTTACTTTCTCCATAAACTGCACCTAACAACAGCATTCCTGACCCTGGTAGTGATTCTATCCAACATGCCCATAGAAATTCTGTCTCTTATTTGGGACTCACGACCCCACTGTAGGGCACTCATCATTTATTATATCAGAATAGAAATTGGGTTGTTGAACACAGTTCAAATAATACTGAAGTGTTTGGGGGTGGAGGAGGTTTGCATTAAAGTTTCACATCAGTTAATTCCTTTTCTTTGCCTAGGGCAAATCAGCCAAAAAAAAACGAAGACGCTTCCAAATTTTTTATCAATGTTTTGACAAGTGTTAAGATAACTTCTTCTCCTCAATTTTTTCAGTTACTATTCCAGAGAAAGGGGAAAAATGAAAGTCACGACCACAAAATAGGATTCCAAGATTTTTTCCTTCAACTTGAAGAGGCAAAGCGTTGTTAGTCAATCTGGTTTTTCAAAATTGTCACACAAAGATCATTTCTCCATCTCCCTTCTCTTCATCAGCAATGCCACACACATAGCTGGTCTCCCACATTCAAAGATATCATGATCTTTTCTTACAAGAACATCACAATTGCTTCTAACTACAGCACCATGACAAACTTTGCTGTATATCTTGGTCTTACAAGGTTTGACAAACTACACAAATAAGTCCTAGTAATACATCTTCACAGTGTATTACCTACCAAAGAGAAAGGACTGTATAACACTTCTTTGTGTCTTCTGCTCCACACCTAACCAATACACCTCCAGTACATGGCAGTATAGTGACACTATGGCAAAATACTGCCATTCTAACCCAGAGGAATTGGACACCATTAGATTCTCCTCCATTCTATTATAGAGGCTATGGTGATTATTTTAGAAAAAATATTCCCCTTAATATATATTCTTTTATAAAAGACCTTCAGCCAGTGGACCATACGAACCAGTATGTTTTAGACCATTAGCTTGACAATGGTGAGATTAGCCTCACAGAAAAGATACAAATTAACTACTGTCTTCATCCAGCATGCAGAATGTACATGCATGTAACAATCACTTCAGTTGGAAATGAGTATTCCATTTCTGTGGAACTTATTATTAGAATCTTGCCAATTTATGTACCCCTTGCAGAAATGCAGATGCAACCAATTTCAATTTTTAAAACACAAATCAAAGTTTTCAGTTTTTTCCTTGATGAAAGGTGTGAATCAGCAGTTTGCTTAATGTTTTGGCAAGAGAGTGCAGTAGAGCACACTCTCTTGCAATATGAAGGAGAGAGTGTTCTTTAAGTCACAGTTTACAAGCCAGCCAAGTCCTCAGGAATGCCCCAGTCCTGTATTGCCTAGAAAACCAATGCTACTCCCTGCAGAGCAAAAATCTCTAAGAGACAAATCCAAAAGGGGCTATTGACTTATCTTTCTTTATATTCCTGCCTCTATCAGGAACTCAGAGCCATTTCTTTTTTTTTTTTTAAACATCTCTACTTTTGATTGGAGTTTTGGAGCTGAGAGTACTACTCAGCACTGCTGAGGCCTGCTCTGCCCAGTGGGGTATGAAGACAGAGAGCCCAGAAGACATGATCTGAAATTCTCTGAAAGGGAGAACATGCTTCTCCCTTTCTTTCCTTGTGCAAAGACAGCACATTTTTACCAATTTGATATCCAGCAAAATCCTCCCCTGCTTAAAAGTGAAACAGAAGAGAAAGTTTGCTTTGCTGCAAACATTATGTTCATGGCAAAGCCTCAGGGGCTGATGCAGCTAATCTTGAGATTTGCTAGAAAACGACGCAGGAATAAACACCAAGTCTTTCACTTCAGCATGGGCTGGCTGCATGCACACAGTGGCCTGGGTTGCTAAGGAGACAGGCTGTCATCTTTTGTTTTAGTTGTAATTTCATCACGATTTCATGCTCACTCATACTGCTGAAGGTTGAAAAGTATTCAAACACCAGACAGAGAAACAGAAAGTGGTTGTCAACATTAATTGTGCTGAGGGTCACACTGGTACAGAATGAGGGGATAGGGAATTCACAGGTCTGGAAAAATCATACATAAACTAATCAGTCACACTAAGTGGAGGGAATTTAGAGAAGTCAGTGCCTAGGCATTCTGTGTGATTTATAAGTTGTACAGAAACACAAAAATTCAGAGACACACAAGATGACTTATATCTTGACAAGAAAATTTTATATTCAAGAATATAATTCTGCCTGTTCTGAAATCAATATAAATATTTCTCTGAACTTCAGCAAGTGCAGCAGCAGATCAAAGGTGGAATCAGAAGAAGGGAAACAGTTAATACAGAGAACTACCTATTATTTGGACAGCGCTCATACTGACTTGCACAGAGAGAGGAAGCTACACTATACACATGTTTAGGTGAAGCAAAATACATCAAACCCTTTTAAGTTTACCCAGAATTATTAGAAGTGAACTTACTTTCACTGTGCCTCAGTAAATACAAAGCAGAGCTGCAAGCACAGGCTAACAAGAGCAGTGCAGATGCGCACCTGGAGCGGAGCGCTGCACAGTCA